CCAAATCAGTCAACCACTCAACTGACCCCAGTTGCTTGTATAGTACTGTTCCAAATCAGTCAACCACTCAACTGACTCCAGTTGCTTGTATAGTCCTGTTCCAAATCAGTCAACCGCTCAACTGACTCCAGTTGCTTGTATAGTGCTGTTCCAAATCAGTCAACCACTCAACTGACTCCAGTTGCTTGTATAGTACTGTTCCAAATCAGTCAACCGCTCAACTGACTCCAGTTGCTTGTATAGTGCTGTTCCAAATCAGTCAACCGCTCAACTGACTCTTCTCGTATAGATAGAAAGCCTGAATGTTTTTCAGGGATGCTGAGTTATATCAAATTCCGAGTTATCAAGGGATTACTGTATATATACTGTCAATTATATGTATATAATTTCCAAATTTAAATAGAAAATTAGGAGTTGATACCATAAAATATTTAGTTGTTGTTAGAGCAGTTGGTAATACAGCACCATATGAAACCACCTGTTTTATTTTTGTAAATAGCTTCATTTAGGCTTCAGCTTCAAAGTTATTTCATTACAACCAATTTGTTTTGAGTGATATTAAGCACAAAGCTACACAGATGGGCTATCTGTGCTCTGCCCACCACAAGTATCAAACCCCTCCTTTTTTAATGCCCTAAGTCTGCAGACTTATCGCTGAGATGATACATGGGGAACTTCAAGATTGTGGGTATATATATATATATGCGTGTGTGTGTGTCAATGAAGGTACATTATGACAAGTTATAAAGCCATGAATAAACTCACTTTTCTCATTAAAACAAAATCAGTTCCGATGTCATAAAATAATAAAAGAGATCAACCGGGTGAAACGAAGTTTCTTACTTACATATCTGGGTTTTCTGAGTTTCAGATTCTGTTCTGCTTTCAGTTGCCGAGCCAATACTTGTTGTTGATGTTTTATGTTTAACTGCCTTCGAACTTTTGCAAGTAGCCACAGTATATCATTATGTTCTACAACAAAAAATATCCACTCTCATCTTATCATCTGTGTAGAAACCTGAACATAATTATTGAAACTCAACTTATGGTTTTTATAATCTGTGTAGAAACCTGAACACAATGAACTTATGTTTTTTATAATCTGTGTAGAAACCTGAACATAATTATTAAAACTCAACTTATGGTTTATATAATCTGTGTAGAAACCTGAACATAATTATTAAAACTCAACTTATGGTTTATATAATCTGTGTAGAAACCTGAACATAATTATTAAAACTCAACTTATGGTTTATATAATCTGTGTAGAAACCTGAACATAATTATTAAAACTCAACTTATGGTTTTTATAATCTGTGTAGAAACCTGAACACAATTATTAAAACTCAACTTATGGTTTATATAATCTGTGTAGAAACCTGAACACAATGAACTTATGTTTTTTATAATCTGTGTAGAAACCTGAACACAATGAACTTATGTTTTTTATCATCTGTGTAGAAACCTGAACATAATTATCAAAACTCAACTTATGGTTTATATAATCTGTGTAGAAATCTGAACACAATTATTAAAACTCAACTTATGGTTTTTATCATCTGTGTAGAAACCTGAACATAATTATTGAAACTCAACTTATGGTTTTTATAATCGGTGTAGAAACCTGAACATAATTATTGAAACTCAACTTATGGTTTTTATAATCTGTGTAGAAACCCGAACACAATTATTAAAACTCAACTTATGGTTTATATAATCTGTGTAGAAACCTGAACACAATTATTAAAACTCAACTTATGGTTTTTATAATCTGTGTAGAAACCTGAACACAATTATTAAAACTCAACTTATGGTTTATATAATCTGTGTAGAAACCTGAACATAATTATTAAAACTCAACTTATGGTTTTTATAATCTGTGTAGAAACCTGAACACAATAAACTTATGTTTTTTATAATCTGTGTATAAACCTGGCCACTTTTAATGCTGAGAAATTATAGTTTGTATTATTTTTAAAGCTGAAATGAATATTTCTTACCAGTTTTGAATAATTGATAACAGACAATTAAAATAATCACATACATCTTTGATACATCTGTTGTACTTGTTTACCATGAGTTACTGACAACATGGATAACAAAAGTTATAGGTCATGTACAAGCATGTTTAAACACACTAAATAATATTTGGTACTGACTTCATCCTCAAAATTTCCCTCATTCACGATTATACAGATACTCCCACATTTTACACCTTATCCATTATAAACATTAGATCATGCTAGTGAACTCGGCTATGTCACACTTGGCCCTAATTAATAATTTATTCTTGAATTGTCATTTCAATTAATTTTTAGTGCTCTCTCTCAAGCACTTACCACCAAACAGACCCACAATTGCACTTATATACACTTAATATTGTTAGTTTCTTTATTTAAAGGTTTTAGATCCAGTGAACAGTTATAAAACTGTCACCCAAATATTTGTCAAGTAATCTGGGTTATTTTTATGTGTCCATTCTAATACCCAGAGCTCAGTATTCTTCACATACTCACTATACTGGGGGGGGAGGACAATGAACTGTGGGAGAAAATGATGAGATTGACTGGAACTTTCTAAGTTATAGGTATTACGTACCGTATAGTATACTGAACGTGACTAACACGTTACTTAACATTATGATGGTACGTAAATAAATGTGAATTTACAGTTTGTGTTCAGAGGCTGTAGTTTCTGAAATTTGTTTGCACTTTGCATTTAAGAATTGAAGTAATGTCTGAGCTCTTTAGCAGTCCTTGAAAACATAACATGTTAAAAGAAGCCAAACATTCTAATACCAAATTTCTGTCTAGAGTATTTTTATTTGTTTCAGCTTTAATTAATTTCTCCCTCAGAATAAGTTAGGTGCATACAATGAAACACTCAAAAATATTACTATGTATAACATAACGTAGCCATTAAATAGAGAAACAACGTAGCCGTTAAATAGAGAAACAATAAAGTAAGATGTCTCTTAATTCATCAAGATATTTTTTTACTGCCAATATCGTATAATATGTATTGATAGTGAGCTGTGATTAAAAATACCAAAATCAAAGAAATTCCCATATCTTCATGTTTGTTACTTCATTCTACCCGACTTCACTAACACTGTTCATACAAAGATCGTTTATGATTACCAGAGCATGTTCTGTCATGCGTTTAAACTTTATCTGATGAAATGCAGGATACAAAAGTATTGTTTTTTTAGAAATATGTTGTGAGCATAATGAATTATTTTACAGTGAGCTAATATTGTGAAGATCCTTTACATATTGTCTGCAATAGATAAGTGTATACCCTTCCCATTAGTCCTTCTGTAAACATCTGATTTTACATTAGTGTGTAAATTAGAATATCACTCTAAGGTGACTAATTTTTTGGACCAACTTGTAGTGTTGTATATTGTGTGACTAAATAAACACAGAATAATAGAAGTTATATTTTTCCAACATACTAACAACTCTATAAAAATAAAAGCAAAAGGTAAAAACAATCCACACACACACATGAAATTCTGTAAGAGAATTTGTTTAAACTTTGTGACGTAGTTTAAAGAACAACGAGGGTAAAGAAAGCATGAGGGAGCTTACTATGAGATGATGAGATGACAGCTTTCTTCAGAAGTTCTTCTGCTGTGTTGTACTCTTCTAACGCTTCGTAGCAAGAAGCAAGCGCAACGTAACAAGAAGTTCTTGCTACAGGTGAACATCTCGCTAACCCGTTCTTTAATTCTACTACTTTTTCTTTCAAAAAACATTTAGCTTCTTTTGTTCTGGAATATTTAGTAAAGTATATGATAACCAAGATAAAAATCCAACAGTTCAATGTTTATTTAATTCTTCTAATACAAGATCTTATTCTTTGATCAACCTGTTGCAGAAAGAATTAACTTGGACCGTGTTTTTGTTCTTTCTTTAATGATGGTTACGTATGAAAACTGCTAGACATTCATTACATATTTTAAAGATCAATTCAGAAATGGAAAGATTAAGACATTTAACATTGTATAAAAACAATTCAAACAAATAATTTAATTACCGGCATAATTCATAATGAGAATAATAAAGTATTAGAATAAATTCAGTTTATAATTAAAACTGACCTAGAATACAGTATATATAATAAAAAACCTTGTCAAAACAGTTGTTTTCTGCACGTTTGGAAATAATGATATTTTATTATGAAACAACGTATTAATATGTTTCGTGATATTCTATGTTACTAGTTAAGAAAATGATCTGGTATAAGTTACACGTATTCTGACTATATTTCATGTGTTCCCTCTTCTGTTATTTTATGCTTGCTAGTTGTTACCACAAACTGGAAAAAATCTGCATCCCAAAAAAGGAAAAAATGGATAATATTGTATGATGTGTTTATCTTACATTTACAAAGGGTTGGGTACGTTACATAAAAATGATTTCAAATATGTATATCAACAAGTTACATATCAACCACAGTTGATATAGTTTTATATTTTGACACTGCTTGATGGTACGAAATTGCCAAAAAATTGACTGCTTTTGGGAGGGATATGGAACAGCCTTTTCCAATGTAAAATATTCATACACTCAGATCACACAAATGAGTTCAGGTTGGGGGATTTATAATTTCAAGATAGGGATATCCTTTGTATTTGCTTTCATTGGCAAATAAAGGAATATGGATGAACTTGGGGCACCAGGCCCTTCCAGAAAGAGACCTGCAACACATCATAACCAAGTTGTGGAAAGCAAAGTGCAGCATCTTGTAACAGGTGAGAATCCACAAATATAAAAGTCTGTGAAAAAGCTGTCCACATGCCCCAGGCAACAGTACACAACATAATCCAGAAGGATTGCCATCTGGAAAAGTAATACAAGTTGCTTCAACAACATATTCAAGAAAGGAAAAACAATTGTACGAACAGTACCTAATTGGGGAAAAATTGTAGCATCAAGCGACATTTGACAAACCATAGGTGTTTGTTTACCAGTTTTTCCTGCTAGAAGACAACGTGAGACTGAAGAGGACACACGAATGTGTCGAAACTAGTTTCTCTGATATCAGACTTCTGACAGTCTGTTCCATTTACTTTGTTTTTTTTCACTTACTTACACTATATGAAACCTAAAGAGTTGACATTCCTTCGTTAGCTGAATTCATCCTTTGAAAGGACACGCTCTTTGAATTTTCTTTTTATAATAGAAAGTAATCATGTTTAATTTATCTATGTATAGTAAGAAGTAGGGAAAACAATCGAGTATGCCTCGTGTTCTGATTGGTTACAAGGGAACACAGTATTTATAATCAAGAGAACAGAATTGCTGAAACTAGGCTTAGTGGCAAGTTAGTACGCAACGTGTTAAATCATAACACCTGTGGTGAGAAACTGATGTCAATTATTGTAACACAGGGATAATAAAAACAGCTCGTTTAAGTAACCATTGCACTATGTAGGTGTAATTTACTAGTACCTGAGAACACTATATAACACTGTCCATGGATTTGAAGAAGTTGAAGAAAACTTTCCTTTCACACTCTTCTGGCCTTGTTTTTTCCACCATGTCGCAAGAATACTTATGGCATACTGCATGTTTATATCTTCATCTTCCCAAGCAGTAGATGACCTCTGAAAAGCACAGATCTGTATATTTTGTCTCAAATAAAAAGCGATTATTGATGTATGTTCAAAACTTTGTTTACATTGAAATAAAACCAGAAGTAAAATAAAGGCTTAACCCCACTTACTGACCACAGATATGGGTGGAAGCAGAAAATTATACCAGTACTGAAGAGTTCTGATTATTAATAAACTAATATATCCCTCTGAGTGTACCAGCATGAGTCTTAAGGAACAAACCACTGCACAGGTAAGAGTGTGTATTAAAACAATAACTCGTGTACGAAATGAAAAACAAAACACCAAATGAATTGAGTACAGAAATTAATTTTATCTCCGAGACTTTTTATTCTGGTTCCACACTGGCCAAAACCACCAGTACAGATTTCCATATGTGCTACAGAACTTTCGCACTCGTACACATATGTTCCATCTTATCTGTACATTCAAGGTAAACATGAAGACCATCTGGCTCAGTGAGGTCACCTCTCGATTTTCAAGATCCAAGCAACCATAATATCAAAGCCAAAACATCAAGTAAAACATTCCACAGACTTAAAGTTTAATCCTACATCTGGACTTGAAGTTATTGCCACTAATAGTCAAGTTTGTATTTTCAACCAAAAGTAAAAAAAAAAGACCATTCATAGAAAGACTGGCGAAATAAACACAAAACTATTTGTAAAACTTAATTCATTTCACTTCTTCTACACTCCAGAGAGAACAATTCCAAAACTTTGAACTTCTCTTGATAACTCAAGATTAAGTATCGCTCAAGAAATCCATCTCTTGCCTCTTTCTAACAAAATAATATGTACAAGACTCACTCTGGTGGTGTACTTTGATCTCTTTACTACAGAATGGATAGTAAACAATAACATTTTTAATATCCATTCTGTAGTAAAGAGATCAAAGTATACCACCAAAGTCATTTTTAATCTTCAATTCAGAACTTAGAACACTATTTACTTTTGTGCAAAAACTTATCAAAGGCAATTTTAATATCTTGTGGAAACCCTTATTGAAATCTTCCTTAATAGCCAAAATAATTAACATGAACATGGGTGTCTTCACTCGTAAAAGCAGAAATCCTATAAATCAAATTTCTAGATGTTGGTAAGGCAAAGAAAAAAAAAAAGCCCCGTTCCAAAACTATTCTATTAATCAAATATGATTTAAAAAAAAAGTTTATTCAAACATTTAACAATTATTAAAACTCTAACAATAACAAAAATGGTTGAGTATGTTAGATTAAAAAAATGTTTAATATTCAAATCAGCAAGTCATGCACCAACCACAGCCGATATAAAATCACCGTGGAACAGACTGTATCAGAACTACATTTTGACACTGCTTGGCATTTCGTAAATAATGTGATGCCATTAAAAGCTAACCACTTTTGTGGAGGGTATGCAACTTATGACACAAAACAGTTCATCATTTATCATAAAGATGGAAATATATCTTGTATTTAATAGCATTGGAGTTATGGATGAACTTGGGGCACACAGAGAAAACAAAAATACTAGTTAAAATTCATTCAACTATACTAGAGATTTGATACTTTGAAACTATTTATAATACTGTACTCATTCAGAATATTTTACCAAGTCTGTTCATGCTTACTTTAAACTTTTTGATTGCAGGAACTGACTCAATTTCATATGCTGTTTTATTCTCTAGTCTCATAACTGAAGCTGCAGCATTATTTATTAGGTTATCTTCTGAACCACACTGTTTTTGATCATGGTAAAAAACTTTGCTGTAGCTACCAGCTGGATCATCACCCTGAATTATTGGGTTTTCATCACATGGCGGCCAGGATGTTATGAAATAAAGCTCATTGTCTTCTTTAAGTTTACTAGATGACTGTAAACTTGGACTTTCTGAGAGGTCTTCTTTACATTTACTAGATGACTGTAAACTTGGACCTTCTTTAGATGTCATTTGAATTGCTTATTCATAATTTGGAAATCTGGCTGCAAAAAAAAAAAAATATTTCAGTCATGAATAAATGATGTATTTGTAGACATATAATTGTCTTGTTTTTCTTCCCTTCTGTAAGTTTTTTACTGTTGATATTCTTGTCTATATAATCTAGTCAGTAACGAAAATATTTTACTCAGAATCAATTAAATCACAGTCTTGGATCCTTCACATCGAAATGTGCATTACTCCTTTAATTAATAAACATTTTAATTTTATATGACTTAAAAATAAACTTTCTAGGATAAAGGTTTCTTTTGGGGAGTTTGACAAGTTCAGGGTTACACTGGTGCATGGTAGTAAAGTGTTACAGAGGTAAGTTTAGTTAATGTTGACAATGTGAGGTCAGGGTTAGTAAAGTGTTACAGGTGTAAGTTTAGTTAATGTTGACAATGTGAGCTCAGGGTTTACACTGATGTAAGTTTAGTTAATGTTGACAATGTGAGGTCAGGGTTAGTAAAGTGTTACAGAGGTAAGTTTAGTTAATGTTGACAATGTGAGGTCAGGGTTAGTAAAGTGTTACAGAGGTAAGTTTAGTTAATGTTGACAATGTGAGTTCAGGGTTTACACTGGTGCATGGTAGTAAAATGTTACAGAGGTAAGTTTAGTTAATGTTGAGATGTTAGTTTCTAACAGGTGTAAGTTTAGTTAATGCTGAGATGTTAGTTTCTAACAGGTGTAAGTTTAGTTAATGTTGAGATGTTAGTTTCTAACTGGTGTTTTATATTTATAGTATATGTATGAGAAAACAACACTGTAAATTGAATACAGTCAATATTTATAGCATATGTATGAGAAAACAACACTGTAAATTGAAAGCAGTCAATATTTATAGTATATGTATGAGAAAACAACACTGTAAACTGAAAGCAGTCAATATTTATAGTACATGTATGAGAAAACAACACTGTAAATTGAAAGCAGTCAATATTTATAGTATATGTATGAGAAAACAACAATGTAAATTGAAAGCAGTCAATATTTATAGTATATGTATGAGAAAACAACACTGTAAATTGAAAGCAGTCAATATTTGTAGTACATGTATGAGAAAACAACACTGTAAATTGAAAGCAGTTAATATTTATATTACATGTATGAGAAAACAACACTGTAAATTGAAAGCAGTCAATATCTATAGTATATGTATGAGAAAACAACACTGTAAATTGAAAGCAGTCAATATTTGTAGTATATGTATGGGAAAACAACACTGTAAATTGAAAGCAGTCAATATTTGTAGTACATGTATGAGAAAACAACACTGTAAATTGAAAGCAGTCAATATTTATAGTACATGTATGAGACACAGGATCCAGGGGCAGAAATAACTTTTGTAGTTAGATTTTTCTATGCAGTCAGCATGTATAAAAATCATATGGAACAGAAATACCAGTCACAACTGAAAGAACATTCTTCACACTGTGCAGAATCAGAACATATCTTCGGGTCAGCTATGAAACAAGCCTGTCTCAATCACTGCACGTTCATTCAGAGAAGAAATATTTTTTTTAGATACAACTGCTGACTTTAAAAGCTGAAGTGAAAGAAGGTTACAGTTCTTTGGTAAATTATAAACATTACGTTGTTCATAATTGTTAGTGAATCTGTATAATGTATATACTGATTATTAACTGATACATTTTTATTTATGAGACATACAAGTTAATATTCTGTAGAACCCAGCAATTTTAATTTGTATGTACAATACAGTAGTTGAATAATGTTATAAAGCATTATGATTCATTCATGCCCCCATTGCTTTCTACATTTTGACGTGCCTGATCTCATTGTATGAATGCTTCTTTTTTTTTGAATAAGAGATTGTATAAATATAATCCTCCAGCCTCCACCGTAAATGATTTATTTCTGGGCAGACCTAACAATAACATGTGGTTATAGTTATACAATAAAACCATTCCCGCATTCACGATTGGGAATTAAACTTACTTACGAAAATTTAAAATGATTCTGTATTTATGATATATAATTAAATTCATACGAAATGTACCATAAACTACAGAAGTAATTTAGGAGGTATTAATATTATTACATACGTAAAAGTTTACCTCCCTATAAAACTGCTTTATTTTCTTCTAACTTGTATCAATACAACATATCAAATTTATCGAATATCGACTTTGTCTGGTGATAAGCGTCACGCATTTTTTTATTTTACTGCATTATTATAAATATTTGCAATATAACGTTCCTTATGGATATAGTTATATGAAGCTTTGGATGTATCGAGTAAAAGAAAAAAAAAATTATGTAAGTAGATCCATAATCTAAATCTATGCTAGTCTTAATTATACTTCGTAGTAATCCACAAGTAGTTCGGTGTACTACGTCTCCGCCCTAACGTTCAATGTTATTTTTTATAATTCTTTATAGCACTAATTTGTCTCCTCTATAATTAAAAAAAAATATATTCAAATATTTGAAGCAAAATAGCTTTTTATAATTCGTTATACTTACATGAAAACTAAGGCGTGTTTTTATGCCCAGGTACATGTATATCTTTTT